TAATTTACTTAGGGAACTGCTATGATTTGGAAGTAATACTTTAGAAATGCAACTATTTGGAAGTAAGGACTCTCTAATCACTACTTCAAGTAATATAATGTTGGGGGTGGAATGCTTTAAGAGTTTATATAGATCTCTTTTTGACCTTAAGAGGATTATCCAAAAGGAAATATCTTGAATTATTGTGGCTGTTAAATAGTAAAGTATGAACTTAAAAAATATGTCACTTAGAAAAAAGTAGTGTTTTTATGGAACTTTGGACAGAAGTAAAGTATCTTAAGACAGACCATCAGACTGGTAGTACATAGAAATAACTTGGGCAAGTCCTCCCAAGTATCATTTCTGTCGGTTTGCAGTGGATTGTTGAATTTCAGTTCCGGGTTTCCAACCTACTGCATCCTTTTAAAAGCTTTATTTTTAAGAATTTATATTTACATGATTTGGAATTTCCGGGTGGGGCAAATTAAGTTTACAGTCTGAGTACATGAAACACAGTTTATTCTTGTATTATTATTTATTTATGTATTATTTTCCAAAACTGCTTTTGCTCCACCCTGTACATATAGATGTTGTGATAAATAAACTTGGAATTTCTTTTTAAGCAAGTTTCTCTCTTTGTGTTTTGAATTCTAAAGCCCATAATGGGTAGAGAGTTGAATTACACAATATCTTACTAAGGATATTTCATATTTAGTATAGACTATTGTGGAAAAATTAGAAGATAGTGTCTTTCTTACAGTAATAGAATTATCAGCCAGTTTTAGGCTGCTAGATGTTTGCTTATTGGTGGTAATTTGCTTGTCCAAATACTTGAAATTAATTTCATTTTGGAAGCAGGGGTCTTCACATAGTATTTTTAATATTCCCAACAATTTTGGAGGTTAGATTTTCTTAAATACAGTTCAGATACTCATTTAAAAGTTTGCTTTCTTTGATATCTGTTCTTTTAAAAGGCATTGAAAACTAAGTATTTCAGTAATCGGCCAGGGCCAACACCTGGATGTCAGCTGCCAAGACCAAACTGTCCAGTGGAAACTTTAAAGGAGCAAGCTAACCCATCTCTGGCAACAAAACGGAAGAGAACAGAGGCCTTGGAACAAGGTAAAACTCTAATTTTTATAAAAAATGTAGTGAATTCAGATAGAATTTGGTGTTTTAATTTCAGCTGTATTTGCTCTCATTGAGAATACTTTTATATCATGCTCTTTAAAAGGACAGGACACTTTGAGTATACCTCAGTTACCAGACTACCCATGTGTACTGTGTTCTCGTCATAAACTCCTGCTGGTGCACTGTATGCTTAATAGTTAACAAATGCTGTTGAGAAAATCAAAGCAAGTAAAGTAAACGTAATGGGAATGCAATGACTGGTTAAAATTGCCATAAAATTAAATGTCAACCACCTCTTTTTTTTTTCACCTAGGAGGATTACCCAAGAAGCTAATTTTTTAGTTACAAATAACACTGGACAGTATTTTACTACTGAAGGAAATAGTAAAAAAGGCAAATAATAAAAAAAATAAACATTAAGTAAATGCTGTAGAAGGAATTGTAAATATCCTTACACATGTAAAATATGTAAAACTGAATTATTTTTATTAAACGTATTTTAAAACAAACTTAATTTTGATTTTTCTGATCAGAGTGCAAATGTAAAATAAGTTCAGTTATCTGAAATGCATTTAGGAAATCTTAATAAAAGTAATTACCAGCTATTTTGATGATCTGGCCCATATAACATCACAAATTTGTAGTAATAAAGCAGTATTTAAAAACAGAAAAATAGTAGTAGTAAGGTAGCAAATACCTACCCAGACTTAACAAATGTTAATATACTAAATAGGAAAAAAAGAAAAAAAATATTCCAGATAAAATTGAGGTCCCTTTCCTGTGTCATTCCATTCTGTTTCACCCTACCCACAGGATAATGACTCCCGGAGATGAGTGTGTCTTCCCATGATTTTATACTGCCATTTTATAAGATTGCATGTAGTAACACACAGCATCATTTAGGGTCTCAAACTTTTATATGAGTGACTGTACATCTCATACCGCAAATTTTTGTACTCAAAACTTTTAAATTCTATGTTAATAATGTAAATCTAGTTTGTTTTTAACTATCATATAATATATATAATGTGTACAATATTACTTTCACATGCTCTCTTTATTTTTCTTTTGCTGCATAAAAATTACCATAAATACAGCAGCTTAAATTAACACAAATTTATTAGCTCACAGTTCTGTAGGACAGATATGTGGCATGGCTTAACTGTTTTTTGCATAGGTCAAAATCGAGGTATCAGTGGGACTGGGCTCTTATCTGAGGCTCTAGGGAAGAATCTGCTTCCAAGCTCATTTAGTTCATGCTACTTTAATGCACTTGCCACCTGCCTTCAGCTTCTGAAGGCAGTGCACATGCCTTGTCACATGGCACTTTCCATCTGCAAGCCAGCAACAGTGCTTCAGTTTGTCTTCCTCATCAGCTACTAAGAGAGAAATCTCTGCTTTTTGAAAAAAGGAGTGGAGGGGCTCACCTGACTTGGGTTATCCATATATTTAAGTCAGCTCACTTGGATTTTAAATACATCTTAAAAATCTCTTCATGGCAGTTACCTACACCTTCCCTGGACGGGACTCGTGAGAATGGTCGTCTTTAGAATTCTGCCACATGGATATTGTTATTTTCAGTTTTACACAGTTATTTAAAAAATAGAATATTTATATACATATGCATTTTTAATTAGTGTTGATACTGCTGTATTTCTCCAAAGTAGTTGTATCAGTTTACACTCCCAATAGCTGTTCAGTAGTTCTTAAAAATGAAGAATCCCCTTATCTTACACTATATACAAAAATTAACTCAAGCCCTGGCCAGGTGGCTCAGCTGGTTGGAGCCTTGTCCTGTGCACCCAAAGGTGGTGGGTTTGATTCCCAGACAGGGCATATACCCAGGTTGTGGGTTCGATCCCTGGTTAGGGAACACATACAGGAGGCAACTGATTGATTTTTCTTTCTCACATCAACGTTTCTCTCTTTCCCCCCTTCCTATCTTTAAAAATAAAAAAATTTAACTCAAAATGGAACAAAGACCTAAATGTAAGACTTAAAGCTATAAAAACTCTTTGAAGAAAATGTAGGGTAAAAGCTTCATGACATTAGATTTGATGAGCAATTCCTGGATATGACTCCAAAAGAAGAGGCAACAAAAGTAAAAAATAGACAGATTGGACTATATCATAATCAAAAATTTGTATGCATCAAAGGATACAATCAACAGAGTGAAAAGGCAACCTATGGTATGGGAGAGAGTACTTGTAAATAATATATCAGGTAAGGACAATATCTGGAATATATAAAGAACTCTCATTGCTCAGCAATTTTTAAAAATCCGACTAAAATATGAGTAAAAAACTCATATTTGACATTTCACCAAAGATGATATGGAAATGGCAAGTAAATATGAAAAAGATGCTCAACATCACTAATCACTGGGAAAATGCAAATCAAACCACAGTGAGGTATCACCTCATACCTATTAGGATGGCTACTATCAAAAGGAAAAACAAAGCAAATTAACAAGCGTGAGGACGTGGAGAAATTGGAACTCTGTGCATTATTGGTGGGAATGTAAAACCGTGTAGCTGCTATGGAAAACTGGTGTTTCCTCAAAAATTTAAAAATGGAATTACCATATGATCCAGCAAGTTCACATCTGAGTATAGACCCCCAAAAATTGAGTACAGGGTCTCGACTATACATTCATCAGCACTGTGTTAAAGTACATGGTTACCTCATCATCTCTAGCTGGGCACAAGACTGCACCCGAGGTACGTACCCTTGGCCAGAATCGAACCCCAGGACCCTTCAGCCCACGGGTCGACGCTCTGACCACTGAACAAAACTGGCTAGGGGTACAGTCGATCTCCTGTGAACTGTTGATTCAAGTTCTTTGTCAACCTATCAAATAGTGTTTCAAATTTTATCAGTTTATATGAATTTGTTTTATGTATATAAACAAATATATTGCTGGATCATACAGTAATTCATATAAATATATACACATACACACACAGACATACATTTTAAAAAGAACCTTTATAGTTTTTGTAATTTGATTTCTTTTTACACTTCCAATTTTGGTATTATTAGATAATCCCAGATCATTCCTTTCCTTACCTTTTATATGAAATTCTTACATAAATTAGATCTGTATATGGTCTTTATCCTATTCCATTGCCCTGCTGGTACCTCACTGCTTTAAATAATGTAGCTTTATATTATTATTATCAAGATAATGTATTTTAATATCTAATAACAGTTCATCATTCCTCTTTTCAAAATTTATTTGCCAAGTTTTCAGCTTTTATTATTTACTAGTGCCAACTAAATGCTCTCCCTTTAACACAACTATAAATGGTTTATATTGTTACCTTATACTCTATTGTTACCTATTTAAGTAGTATTCAGTGTAGCCATATACCTTTTCACTAGAGATAATTAGATAAGTTTTATTATAATTGCTGACAGTATAATGCATCTCCTTTGACATAATTGTGATGCTACTAATATAGCAATATTCCCAAAAAGTATTAAAGATTATTACTATGTAATATTTATAGAAATAGAAAATTAAATGGCCTAAAAGTCAGGATCAAAACCAAGAACTTCGCCCTGGCTGGTGTGGCTCGGTTGAGCATCATTCTGTGCGCTGAGAGGTCTCGGGTTCAATTCCAGATCAGGGCACATGCCCAGGATGCAGGCTCCATCCCCAGTAGAAGGCATACAGGAGGCAGCCAATAGATGTTTCTCTCTATCAATGTTTCTCTCCCTCTCTCCTCTCTCTAAAATCAATAAAAACATATTAAAAAAACCACAGTAAGTCAATTCAGACTGGTCTGAGTATGAGAATTCGGTGTAGATCTGGCTACAAAATGTCAGCACTTCAGCGAAGAAAAACTGAAGGTTACTAGCTGTGACTGAATATACTTCTGCTCAAGTCCCATTGTAATAACTTTTAATTGAAGTTAACTTAAGGAAACTTTAAAATACATGATAATGAAATGGCAAATGGAAAGTCCTGGAGAAACAAAAGATAGATGTATTTCAAAAATTAACATTCCATCACTCCTAGGCATTGTTATTTCTTACAGCATTAATTTACATTATATTGTTGCTTGAGCCAGTCAAAGATCCCCCTAGTCAATCTAAATAGTTACATAATTTTTTGTTTTTCTCAAAATATTTTTGGTTTTAAGATGTTGGCAAATAATGAAGATTTTATAAAATATAGTAATATAATTTATAAATAAAATACATCACCACAGAATACTAATAAATTTCTTGTAGAAAACATTTAAGTATTTAAGCTTCCTCCTAAAATTTAGAAATACCCAGAAAACATACAACTTGTGAAGATGTAGCAATGTTTACACAATCCTTTTTCAAAGTCTCTTGATATAAACAGCTCTCGGTTCTAATTTCAACTGGTTTGTCCTCAAAACATGATATTTGATGGCAAAGAATGAGATCTTTTCAGAGTTCTTGTATAGTTTTGATCTGTATGAAGACGCTGGATTGAACAAACACAGCCCACAGAATTAAAAATGTGAACACGTGAATGTACAGGATCATGCAGGACACAGAATTCTGAAGTTTTCTGCCTGGAGCTTTTTAATGGAAAATTGTCTTCCTTGGGATTTTTTTCTTTATTCTCTTTTGAGCCTGAGTCTTTGTCTTCCAGTGCCCGAGCAAGCATGTAACTAACTTTTCTTTGATGAGCCAAAGCTTCTTCTTTATCATTCAACTGCATGCACAGAAATTTAAAATGTGCCAGTTAGTCAATAAGTAACAATATAGAACTACAGTCAAAAGTATTTTATCAAAATGTTCAATCTTCAATCTGTTAAATCAACATGAACAAACTAATTAGATGTCTACTCATTCCCAAGCATTATACTACAAGTTATTGAGGATGTTTTTTAAAGTAAGAAGAGAAGACTATTCCTTCTGCTGAAAACTGTAAGTCATCTGAAGGGGGGAGGAAATACATATATGAGTATGTATATATAATCAATATGTACTTCTCTCTGTAAAAGAATGTTGAAGTTATACATAAAATTGTTTTTATTTATATGCAAATAAATAACTTTAACACTCTCCTCTAGATTAGATAAGTATGTTCATGAAATGTGAGTCTCCTAATTTGGTCATCTGTGAAATGGGGATAACAGGACTGATTTCAAGCCTGTGGTTGTGATTAAAGAATGTAATGTGTGAGGAAGTGGATGGACACTTTAAAAATTCCTGAATAAATGGAAGTCTTGTCATGAACATCGTATTTCAGTGCAGATGACAGAGATGCCGGGAGTTAATTACAGGGAGCCCCCTTTTTTCAGAGGTGACGCTTTAAACTTGCACAAGAACATGGATGGGGGAAGGTATAGTGGACGAGTTGAATTAATAAAAAGCAAAAAGAAAGCAAAGATACTAACCAAATCTATTAGCATCTTGAAGACTTCCTGTGGATTATCTTGGTCTTCAGTCCTCTTAGAACTGTTTTCTGAAGGGAGCATACCCAACAGTTTCTGCCCTAAGGTCTTCTTAGTCCTTTGTGATAGTAATCCTAAAATTAAACATGAAAATCCAGCTGAGACATGAAAAGACGCTCATTGATGTAGTACTTCCAGGGAAAGAGGTCAGTATGAACCAAGGCTAACTCACTCCTCAGTCAGTCAGGAGGTCGTCCTCCTCGGGAGACCTCTATCTAGCACAAGTGAGTCAGGGAGCACAGTAGAGTGGGACGAGCACAAGCTTCAGAGCCAGGATGGTAAATGCAAGGAGAGGGCCACAGTGAGAATCCAGAGCAACGCCCTGCCATTCTGTCACATCACCGCTCTTCAGCTCGCAACAATGGCTGCCCCGTGGGAGAGAATGCAGCCCATGCTACCAGGTCATCTGTCTTCGGAGGAGCCAGCAGTCCAGATTTGTATGTGGCATCTCCCAATTTTAATGCCAGTCACTTACCCACATTATTTAAGAACGTTATGCAGACCCAACTAAACATCTAAGGCCAGTGGCCTCTGAACCATGCAAACTCTGCCTTAGAACCAGAAAGACCTGGACTTAATCTTCACTTAGCTGCTTACTAACTGCATGACCTTGGACACATTCTCTGAGTTTCATTTCTTCACGTCTAGAATAGGAATATTAGTACCTATGCCTCAAGGTTGCTGTGCCGTCAAATAGCGCATCTGCTGTGGGAGGAGAGTGGGCAGTTGGCATTTAATGGGTACAGAGTTTCTGTTTGGGAAAATGAAAAAGTTCTGGAGATGGACGGTGGTGATAGTTACACAACAATGTGAATATGCTTAATGTTACTTAAAAATGGTTAAAGTAACTTTTAGCACCAAGAAACAAAAAAAATACCACAGAATACCAAGGCTGCCCTCAGAATATACCTGTGACTATTTGCAGTCTGGCTTCTATCAAGGGCATAGCTGAGAGAAGAGGTGCCTGAGGAAGATCATCTACACATTTGTCGTCCGTGGTAGAACTGGATATTCTTAATGTTTTCCACTGATTCCTAAAAGCTAAATACATGGACTGTGTTTTATTTCCCTGGCAAAAATCCTACTATGACTTGGACATTGAAGTTATATCTTCAGTTTCTATCAAGAAATTATAGAAAACCACCATATAGACATGGACTTTGTATTTACTATAAATTACTGTTGGGGACTTAGCCAGTATATTTGCTTAATGGCCTCCAAGTCTCATGTTCCAAAAGATTTTAGAAGCTAATTTTAGGACAGTGTGGATGGAGTGCCTCTTTAAGGAGAGTTGAGAAACAAATTGTCCCGTTTTGCCCTAACCTCCACATGATGAACACTCTAAATATGCTTTCCTAACCTTTCTTTACCTGTGTTCACAGTTCTTACTTCCTACTTCTATTCTTAGTGTCCCTGTAAGCTCCTTCCATTTCAGCAAAGGAATAAGTGAAGGTTAGCTAATGAAGCTAAAATCCACAACACTGGGCCCATGTACTATAACATACTATTTGAAAAGAAAAATCTCATTTTTAATATTACAGGATTCTTACTAGTCCTAAAGTTCATCTGAAAGTGAGATATATTGGAGTTAGGATTATTTCTTTTAATTTTAGACAGTATTTAGAAATTTAGTCATCTCAGAATTTTAGTACTGAAACATTTTAACTTCTTATAAACTTAACTCTTTCTTGACTGATAAATGGTTTCACATTGAAATTTTAAATTGAACCTGTATGAATTCTGAATAAATGAAAACTGATAAATGAATTCTGATAAATGAAAACTGATACCTTTTAGAGAAACTAAAATTTCTTTTAAGACAGCTACTTTGTTTATATTGGACGATGTGCTTCAATTTTAATTTTATTCTCTCATGCCATTTTTATATATTTTGTTTACAGTAATACTTAAAAACAACCATGAACTTTTTTTGATAGGTTTGTGAACCTAAGCCTTAATTTCTGTTTTATTTATTGTAAGAATATTTTATTAATTTGTCTAACTTAAGATATTTCCTCTACCCCAAAATGTCTCTTCCAGAACCATACGTCAATCAAGTTTAATTTATAGATACATTTAATGTAGGATTTCACTGTCATTTTACTTCCTTTTTGGCAGTTCCCCTTTAATCATCTAGTACTCTAATTCTTTCTGCCACTAAATATGGTCTTTAAATGAAGTAGCAGAGTACTAAAGAAGATTCTTCTGTTATTTTATGGTTTTGTTGATCTCAATAGCTCATCTGCATATGCAACATCCAGTAACCTCTATCTTCCCGTAGATAATAAATTTTTAAATAAGTCACAGCTATATATAAAATTTCAATTGTCCATTGTATTAAACGTGCTTAATCAACTTTGGTTATAACCTAAAACAAGTGAAATTACACCTGATTGCTGCCATTACAGTTCATATTTACCATCTTCTTTAAGGTGCTTCCAATTTATCCATTTTGTTTCTTTTTTACACATTTTTTCCATTTGTGTCAATCTCAGTGCCTGGTCATTTTTCCTCATTAGTTGTTGCTCAAATGCAATTCTGAATGCATCTGCCATTATGTAAGCTTCTTCTTTGCTCTTCTGCAAAAGCTGCAGCTGGTTTTGAAAGAAAGTTTGAAAGGTTTCAGAGGCAAAACCAGAATAATACTCGCCTGAATGCCAAGTCAGGTTAGCAAGAGCAGCCTCCCTGCCTAGCGTGGGCCTACTGTCTGTCTTTGGTCTGTTTTATCTGCTTTAATTAGTACTTGCCAGTTCTCTTTGGCAGTAGCTGCCCACTCTGAACTAGATGACCAGAAATTCCCGTTGTGGGGTCTGTCGATTCTGTTAATCCAATTCTTGGATTTCACTATCTTAGACTGGTACTGTGTGTGTTCTGCCAACTAGGAAAAAGGAAGGATGCCAAAGGCTGCATTTCAGTACTGCCTTGGGCCATTCCAGACAATACCACTGAAAATAATCTTGAATATTGCCTTTCAGATACCTCCTATAGTTGACCCTGACTCTGATCTGTGTAACTTTATGCTTCTCCTAATGAACTGCTTATGTTTAGCTGTTAGACTTTAAATTCCATACCTTCAGTAAAGGTAAAAAAAAATTTTTAATTATGTCCCTTGCACTGTATTTGTTATTAAAACCTAATTATAATGGCAACTACCATTTGATTAAATGCCGGGCATGTGCTAAACATATGTCTACTTCCTCTATTTCCTACAACAACCCTCCAAACTAGTTATTACCCTTCATTTAACATGAGTCCAGAGCCACAGAGCTAGAAAATGATGAACCTAAGATTCAAACCTAGGTCTGGCTACCACCATACCTTGCTGCTTTTCTAATAAGCTTCATGTTTATCTCCCCACTGATCAGTGTTGCAGATCCTAGTAATTTTAGGTGTAAGTGCACCTTTCCCTCTAATACATAGTAATTTTAGGGCCACTTATAAACAAAAGAAATAGAATTTAGGAAATAACAATCTTAGTCAAACAACTTTATGTGGCTAAGTATCATGCCAAGTACTATTTGTATTCTGGAGCCATGTAAACTTGTAAAATAAGTTAATGCTATTGTTTAAAATTAAGCATGTTTTCCATCGCCAATAACTACCAAAATGAAGCTGGTAATTGCAGATATTTCCATTTGTTCTACTGACAGAAACAAAACCAAAGCTTTTACTGTTTTGATAGCACGCTACCTCCTGTTTGAGCTGAAGAAGCATTTTCTGAGCTGACGCTGCTGTTTTGGCACAAGAACAGGGGCTCCCTCCAGGACCATGACAAAGGCAGGCTCCCAGCACCGCAAGCTTTAAATCCAAAAGTACATCCCATTACTAAGTGTCCAGTGCTTAGCAGACACAAATGCAGGGGCACACCCACACATACCCATGCACATTTCTAGTCAAGCATCTGATCCAAAGAAACTGGAAAGGAAAACAAATAGAAGAAAGCTGAGACCAATATTTCAGGATCCAGGTGAAGGCTGGTTACATGCATATGAGGAAAGAAGGTTGTTACTTGAAACAAAAACATAATGGAATTCTACCTTCCTTCTTTTCCCTCTCCACCTTCACCTTTAACCGGGCACCAGTTTCCCATAGTTCTGAATCGTTGGCAGGAACTTGGCCTAATGAAGCAAATATTAGCATCCACAATGTGGACTTTCTGTACTGGACTTGGCCCTGCTGCCCAGCAGTCATTACTGCAAGCTCCTGCCAGGGAGAGTTGCATACTCAGAAATGAATGAATTTTAATGTTAATGAGAAAAGCTGTCCACTCCTAAAAACCAGTCTATAATTATGTCCTGTGAGACCCTACTAAAATAGCTTCTGCTAAAACTGTAAAAATGAGGAATAAAAGGAAGTGGCTGGCACATCCCTTAATCTCCAGCAATGCCATGCATGCAGGGTATGGTACCAGCAAGACAAGAACCGACCTGGGCAAACCCATGGGCCTCTCAGCCTCAAGTTACTAAGTATGGTGCTAACCTAGAACATGGAACAGGTGGCGATGGCAGAAAGGAAAGGAGAGAACTTCTACCCTGCTAAGCTTTCATACCTGCTTACTCACCTCAAGGCCCGAAACCTCTGTAAAGTCACTTTTATCACCGCACATGTTTTCCTGAACCATCTTCTGCTGTTTGATATCAAGCATAGCAAGGGCTTCCAAGTGCTGTTGATTCAAGCCTAGGAAGGGCCGTATAAGAACATGTTAGTTACGAGGGCTAACTCTGGCCTCGCCTAATCTTATTACATTAACACCTATGCTCATTCATTACAAGCAATGCATATACAACAGGCATTGTCCACAAAATTTGGCTCCACCCAGAAAATCTGATAGTGGGTATCGAGTGAGATAATACATGTGTAACACTAGATTAAATGTTATTTCAAATGTAGAAGTATCTTAACTCTGTAACTGAAATCTGGTCATTTACTTGTGGAAAATTTGAAGCATTTTCAAAGAGAAAACAGACAAAGGCAAATTATTCAGTCTTTGTAGATCATGAGACAACCAGATGATGGGATCTCATACTTGTTTTATGTCAAACATACCAGCGACCCTAACTCTATCAGATTTTTTTATTAAGAGTTTTCACAAGAGGATCTCAAACCATTTAGAACAAGGGCCCTGCTATCTACTGGAGAGCAGAAATCCGTAACTTCCCTCTTGCTGCAGGGCGGGGTGGGAGTAAGGGAGGGGAGGGGCGTGGTCGTGAGCAGTTCCGTTGGGAGCTCTAACCTAACCCAGAAGTCTCCCCCGGCTCCAATCCCTGGTACCGGGAGGCACGGGTATGTGCTCTTCCCACCCAGGGCTCGGCCCAGCTCACTCAGCGACGCTACGTGCAGGGCCTCTCAGGCCATGACCGGATTCAGAATGTGTTTGTCCCCTTCAAGCCACCACTTTAAAATAGTTTCTGCCCAGCATGGAGAACTAAAGAGTTGGGTGTGCAGCTCGGCGGTCAGACCGCCGTATGCTTTACAGAGTGTCTCCCCAACCTTTCCAGCACCACCTGGCGCCGCAGTCCCACCGCGCTGCTGGCTGTTCCCTGTGCTGCGCTCACTCCCCTGTGAGTCGCTGGTAACTGCCGACTGAACGGCTCACTTTTACTTTATTTTCTCAATCACCATTCATCCCCTGTGTACCCTCTTCCACCTCCCCCACTCCCCCCCCCAGGACTGTTCACTTTTAAATGGTAATTTTGTTATGTGAATTTCACCTAAAATATTTTTAAATTAAAAAATAACTAAAGGATGCATTTCTTCTATTATTCTTGAAATATATTACTTCAAAATACTAGCACTTTGTCTCTATTGATATGTGTGTTCTTAACACAGGACACTATATAAAATGAATCCTTTAACATAATATTTAAAAGAATCATCAAAATACCAGTCTTACGTGCATTTGCAGACTTCAGCATTTTAATTTCTTCTGTTTTCAGTTTCAAATTTTCTTTGAAGACTGCGTTTTCACAGTTTAGCCTGGAAAAAAGTATCCTCCAAATAACTAAAACATTAGCACTTTGTACTTAAACAATGTTTTCATCCCATAATTAGAGCACAAAAACCTCAATATAATTTTTCCTACTTCAAAACAGTCTGGGATTTATATGTCACAAAATACACAGTTTAAAGGAGTGTGGCAAGGTTTTGAACATACTCTAAACCCTCTGTATAGCTGAGAAAGAATCGGAACCAGAAGTATCTCTGAGGCATCCATCTTGAAACTCAACCTCTTTACTAAAGTTCCAATTCAGCTTAATAACATTTGACTACCAACATATGTAAGGCTTAGGCCACTTTCAAAAACCTGCATAAAAAGATACACCGGAAGCTTTGTCGACTACAAACTAGAATTACTTACAAGAGTTCCTGAAGTGCCCAACATCAAAGGCTTAAACATTTTTTTTGGTAATTAAAACCAGTAGCCAAATTGTCTGGTCAATTTCTGACTTTAATAAAATACCTGTTAAGACATTTTGTAAGCAATGTTTGTGCGAAATGTTATATGCTGTGCTCAGGATTGGCCTCAGATCATTAAAACAGTGGTCATGGAGTTAAAGTCTCCCAATTTAAACGAAATGCAAACCTAGGCATCTGGTTCTATGAATTACTTAACAAATTAATGCAAAATGAAGTCAGGTTCTCACGCAAGGTGTGTGGCCCTTGAGGAATCAAGCACCTTTGTTAGTAACCCTCTTCCTAATACTCTAGATGAGTTTCCCAGAGAGTTCTCATTAACGCTGAGGTTATGAGGAAATTCTTCAGCTGCTCATTGTATTAGATCCACTTAAATCACTTTATAAATTACTTTATAAACTGTAATTTAAAAAAACAACTCAGTCAAATGCATTAGCTTTGCTATCTGGTTAACTATTTTTGTGCAGACCTTATAATGAAGCGTCTTCTGCCAGGTCTGCTTAATTGATGAGGGTCTGAAACGGCACTCTATCAACCAAGTGTAAATCTGTGTACGTGAATCAGAATTTCCTGGGCTCTGTGCAGCCAAAACAAAATACTACACGCCCCCCCAAAAAAATCCAAAAACAAAATTAGGTAAACAACACTATCAAAAAAAAAAAACCCAAAATATATTCTCTTGATGAGGCTGTGGGAAACAGGCACTGTCACGAGTTGCTGGTATGAGTTCAGAGAGGAATTTGGCAACATCTAATAAATCCACATATGCATTTACCTTCTGACCCAGCAATTCCACTTCTAAGAAACTACCCTGAAAATACATCTCCAACAACGCAAAGCACATGTGTCAAGGTTATTTACGGCACCTTTGTTTATAAACACAAATATTGGAAACAAGCTAAGTGCCTGTACACAGGAGAATGGTTGAGTTCACTATGTATGGCACATCTACACTACAGTGATTTCCACAATATATTATTAATGGAAAAAATCAAAGTACAAACTAATATCTACTGTAAACTATCTGTTGTGTAAGAAAGAAGGGAAAATAATAAAACATGCATATATCTGCCCATGTGGGCAAACAGAAACACAGCAAAGATAAATCAGAAAACACTAAGATTGGTTATCTGCAGGTGCTGAGGGGAGGAAGCCTGGCAGGAGGTGGGCTGGGGCAGAGGGTGTGGTGAGTAGAATCACGCTTCTCTGAAAATACCTTTCTGACTAGTTCTGACTTTTGGAAGCATGTCAATGTTTTACAAAGTCAAAAATAAAATAAGTCAACACTTACAGTGAAAAAAACCTAAAACAGGATACAAATAGAAACATGATCTTACATAAACAGCATAACCATGCTAAAGAGAAGAAACTAACTGAGTAACTTTTGAACACAGGATTTTGACTACATACCCTCAGGCTACAGAGAAAACCATAACCGAACACTGAAACTCCGGCTAGTGGGTTTTCTTTCACAGTGCTCTGCACAGCAACATTAGGGCTATTTCCGCATAGTCTACAATGGAACGACACGTAACAAGAACACTAAAACTAACAGAAAAACATGGAGCTGGCAAGCGGATAAGCAGTAAAAATTTTATAATATTTACACTTACCTCAAGAAAAAAGAAAGCCTGAGCTACATTTGAATTACACACATTTCAAAGATTCCCAAAGAAAAACTATGGAATAATAATATACAAACCTGTCATATTTTTGGATCCAAGATTCTTCTAAATTTTTAAATCTATTCTGATCAAATTCTATTTTCCATTGCAAGGCATTTATTTCCTATAGAAAGAAAGCAGCACTTTCATGGAAAATTTTACAAAATCACTTCAGGGCACTGTGAATAGCTGAAATAAATTATCTAATCATTTCACAGATATAAATAGGTTAAACAAAAAAAACCAATTATTGCTCAAAAAAGAGTCTATGACATTTGTAAACCCATATAATATAGCTCTTTAGCACTCAAAATAGCTTTGCCAAAGCTTGCTTACTATAGGAGAAATTTCAAATTGTTTAGCTTACAAATTTGCTGATCCAAACCTAGATTTCTCAACATCCCCCACCCCCCACCCCCGCAACCCACGCAGGCTCCACGAGCCATGTACACTCCTGGGGGTCTGAGCCCAGGGCCATCCCACGGGAACATGACCTTTGAAGGTGACTCCTACCTACCCTTTTAGTGAGGATGAGTTGGTCAGACAAAGGCAGGCCCAGGAAGCAGAGAAAGAAGAAAAATAGAAAGTGTCAACTTGGAAAGCCTCCCACTACCTTAAAATGAGGAAATACAGAAAACCTGGACTCTTTGTCCATTTGACAGTCTGTCTGGATTATAAACTCTAGAAAAGGGAAGGAACCATATGAAGTGAAGCACACCTAGCAGAGGGTGTGCACCCATGAGTCAGGTGAACCTCACGGAAATTCTATTTGAGAGCTTGTTGGATTAAACGAGTCTGTGCTAAAAATGCAAATACCTTCTCCAAGGATCTCTTTTCGTCCACAATTTTTTGAAATACTGCCTGGGTATGACTTGTGGCTTTGCCAAATATTGCCTAAGAAAAATAAAAATCATATCAGTACAAATTAAATTTCTAATCACTCCTATATGCACAATGAAGTTCACATTTTTATTTTAAGACAATAAAAAATTAATTTGAGATGAGAATTTCCACAGAGACCACCTTTTGTGGAGCGTTTGATAGTTCAAAAGTCAGAAGATCTTGGTTTGGGTCTTTCTCAATGAATGTGAGAATTCATGGAAGGATTTTCCACACAAAGACTTGTACACAACATTCATAATGGCCAAAAAGTGGAAACCCAAATGCCCGTCCATTGGTGAATGGAAAAACAAAGTAAACAAAATGTGCTATACCTGTACAATGGAATATTGTTTGGCAATAAAAAGGAAGAAAGTACTGATACATGCTACACCATGCTTGAACCTCAAAAACATGCTACCTATAAGAATCCAGATGCAAAAGAATCCATACATATTGTATGATTCTATTTATACAAAATAGAAAACGCAAATCTATAAGACAGAAGGTTGGGAATGGGAATGGGGAGTGGCTGCTAATGTGTATGAGGTTCCTTTTAGGGGTGTTGAAAATGTTCTAAAAGTAAGTTGTGGTGATGGTTGCACAACTCTAAGTTTAGTAAAAATGAACTGCATGTTTAAAACGAGTGACTTTCATAGCATGTAAATTATACCTCAACAAAGCTGTTGGCAAACCTAGACTCAAAAAGCAGCTCAGCTACATCGAGCACTGCAGCTTTTGTTTTAGAGCTAACACCACACCACTTGGTTGGGATGCCAAAGTGATGGTAGTTTAGAAACTTACCATGCTCTGCAGAACTTTCAGTGCTTCCTCTTTACCTTCACGCTGTCTTTGAGATGCCTCAAGTTCAGTTTTTAAAATTTCTACCTCCTGAGGGGAGAGATGAAATTAGTTTTCTTATCTGCAAGATGTGCAACCCCAAATGACCAAGAGGATGGTCTACATTTAAGCTCAACATACAGTGTGACTCAAAGTACTCTGCCCTTATAAATGAGGTTGGAAATTCCTAGAGGCTCTATAAGGGGACCAGAAAGGCCAAAATTGAGAGCCTCACTATCAGGTGCCATTTATAACTCAAAGCCCAAATCTTTTGCTTTTACCCATCTAGGCGACTCAGCTAAGAATTTGGGGGAGGGGAATCCTTAGGCCACATAAAATAAGCACATGACCATTCACACAGCTACAGTAGTTATTATGGGTTGAGTCGTGCCCCCCCCCCAAAAGAAACATTCAAGTTCTAACTGTTGGTGCTGTGAATGTGACCTTATTTGGAAATAGGGTCTTTGCAGATATACTCAAGTTAAAATGAGGTCAGATTGGATTAGGATAAGCCCCAATGACTGGTGTCCTTATAAAATGAGAAAAATTTGGTCATAGACACACAGGGAGAAGGCCATATGATAACAGAGACAGAGACTGGAGTGATACAGCTACAAGGCAAGGAATGCCAGGGACAAGGACTGTTGGGGGCAGCTACCAGAAGCTAGGAAGAGAGAAAGGATTCTTCTCGAGACCTTGAGGAGGTAATGTGGCCCCTCGACACCTTGATTTTGGAATTCTAGCCGTCGGAGCTAAGAGAATAAATCTGTGTTAAGCCCGCAGCGTGTGGAACATACACTAAGATGGGCTTCCTGTTTCCCACAAGATAGGCACCTGCCCCCACACAGAAATGCCTTCTCCCAGCAGGCTCGACAACCTCCTGGGACCCCCTGGGATACCTCCTGGTCCTCTGACTTCAAGTAGGTTAAATTAAGTCAAGTCATTTCAAGCCACATACACAGGGAAGGCAGACGGAAGGAAGTGATAACTACTTTCTCCAGGAGAAGGCTGCGAAGGAGTAGGCTGGGGTGAAGGAGCGCTGGAGGGCCTGCTGACGCAGCCTTTCTGAGAGGGGAGGACAAGAAGCGAGGAGGCCAGCTCAGGTTTACCCTGTGGCTCACCCAGAACACCTGCAAAGCCAACATCTGCCTTCCATGCAATTTTAGGATCACTTAAACAAAATATCCACCAGTGGACCTTTATTCACATGAGAATTTTTACATTAGCCAGACCTACCTCTAATGCTTCATCAAGACGTTGCTTTAATTCTGCATTTGACAATTCTGAATTAGACTCTATTAGAAAAAACACATGTTTTCTTTAATTAAATAAGGACATTTGTTTATAGATTATCATATATAGATTTCCCCTAAATTGCAAAGAGAAAAAAATTGTAATAAACCAAAGAATGACAAAAATAAGTACCTTAAAATATTTCACAAAGAACCACATACTTTGAATAAAAAGACTTTAAAAAGGACCTAAAATACAACTTGTAAATAAGTTGGTTACTACATACAAACATAATACAAAAAACCATGGATGTTGGTGAGTGAAATAAATAAGTTTTGGTGTTTGGCTTAAGTTTGACGGATGTAGTGATGTGACAGCTAAGAAAGAACCCGAGTGTCATTTCTGTCCACAGAGAAGGAATAGAGGTCTCCTGTAATTTCAACTATTCTCTCCTTATATGACCAACTGAGGTGTTACGCTGAGCTTTCCAGGAGCTTCATTTCTTCGTGGTCTCCCGGATGACAGAAAAACATGAACATGGTAAGTTATAAGCAAGAGGAAAAGAAGTAAAGGGAGAAAAAAAATAGCAAGAATATTTTGAGGGATATTAAACTTTTCTCAAAACAATTTTTTCCTTTGCTGTTCTGGACTTTCATCAGCATGACAGTATCCAAGGTAAAACTTAAATCATATTTTTACTCTGATGATATAAGGTTCCAAGGAGGGGCAGAAGTGACACTGGATTGACAGTGACAAGTTCTGTCTCATGAATACTTGTGATGGCAGAATAATGGCCCCAAACAATGTCCAGTCTTAATCCTCATAACCTGCAAATACACAGCAAAAAGGACTTTGCAGGTGCGATGTACTTGGAGACGGAAGACTATCCTGGGTTACCCAGCTGGGTCCGGTGGACTCACAGGTCCTTATAAATGAAGGAGGAAGGCAGAGGAGTCAGGGTCAGATTGAGGCAGCATCAGAAAGACTCGACCAGCCACTGCTGGCCTCAAAGAGGGAGCAAGGGGACCAGGGGACAAGGAATGCAGGTGGCTGCTAGAAGCTGGAAAAGGCAAGGGAATGGATCCCCTCCTAGATCCTCCAGAAGGAAGGCAGCCCTGCCGACAGCTTGATTTCAGCCCAGTGAGACCTGTTTTGGACTTCTGACCTACAAAACTGTAAGATAATAACTTTGTGTGGTTTTAAACCATTAAATTTCTGGTAATTTGGAAATTACCTTTTAGGAAACACAATAATCTTACCCAGAATCAGGTCAACTTTGATAAAAAGAAGTCCATAACAACAAAACAGGAGCTCATACTATTACTGCTGCATCTCATTTCTATCCCAGTGGTTTCCCCAGGTTTTTACAAAGGCATCTTAGCATCGTGTTCAGTTTTCAACATCTTGCTTGCAAAACAGTGTGCATTCCTATGCGTGGCACAGAGTTGGAGGAAAAGTGTATAAATAATCCCATCCTAATTTCAAGGAGGAGTCTGAGAGATGGGGATAGATCCCCAGCTGCAACATGCTGCTTGTAAATCTGAAACCAGGTTTCTTAAATTATTTTTGTGTTGTTCTAATTTGTGTTTGTTCCACTTTGGCAGGGAAGTTTTACAATGTGGGTTACAAAAGATTCAGCCACAAGAGCTGTGCCACGGCGTAGGCATGGACCCTTCCTCGGGTTCCCAACCACTGTGGAGTTGTATCATTCTATCACAGTATGATCCTGAACTTCATTCTTTCCTTAATGTATGGCATAACTTATTAATAGTTAAAATAAATTAAGATTAATTTTGTTTTGATAATTTTTGAGAATTTCATGGTATCCCTAAAATAATGTGAAGCATTCATGTTCTGCGGGTAACACTCCTCCCCCAGATAAGCACCAGGCTTGCGGTGCTCAATGTCACCTCCTTAGAGAGGCCTCCCCTGACCCCTGCCTAAAACAGCAGTGTGCTGGCCTCTCCAGTGGCTCACTATCCCCTCACTCACGCTGTTCTACAGCTGCTGATTGTAGGGTTAGTCTGTCTCCTGGACTAGAATGTAAACTCCAAGGCATTAGGGCGTTTGACTATTTTATTCAATGTTTCCCAGAGTTCAGAACCGTCCCAGGCACCTAACAGGCACCCAATAAATATCTGTTGAAAAAGGAAAAAAAATGCCCAGCCGGGGTGGCTCAGCGGTTGAGCGTCAACCTATGAACCTGGAGGTCACAGGCCCGATTCCTGGTCAGGGCACATGCCCAGGTTGCGGGCTCCATCCCCAGCAGGGGGCCTGCGGGAGGCAGCCGATCAGTGACTCTCATCATTGATGTTTCTCTTTCCCTCTCCTTTCCTCTCTCTGAAATCAGTAAAAATGTATTTTTTAAAAAATAAAGTAAAAAGAATAAATGAAGAATACCACTACACCCCCCAAAAAAGCAAGGTAGGTAATTATTTACCAGTATCACTAACATATGTGTATCAATGCAGAATAACTAGTGTACTGCACGGCTGAACAATTCTTGGAAATAGAAACATCAATCGCATCTGAACCATCTCCAGTCTGCAGAGGGGAACAGCGGTAGTTTCCAAATGCTCCCTGGCGACCGCTGTCCCGCTAGGAAGGCGGAA